AGTTTAAGGGATGGACGACGGGCGCTGGACGAAAAGCGATCACAAAAGCTCACCCTGTCACTTTGTGACAGGTGAGCTAAAAATCAGAAGAGAAAAAAACCTGATTTTGTTTCAATCCAGCCATATTTGTTTGTCATGCATAAATGCTACAATATAAACTGTTAATAATAAAATCACACATAAAAATACAGTAATGCTAAAGAAAAGAACAACAGGACTAAATTCATTACCTCTATTTGGCCAATTATCTACCCACAAGCTCATGGATTGCAAATTCTATCCTTGAGCTAAGTGGATGGTCCTTTCTGTTTTCAAAAAGTGTTTTTATGAGAATAGTACATTTAATTACCTGTATGTTTTTCATAATTTCTTCTTTAGTCATTTTTTTCAAGTAAGTATGTTGAATTCCCTCTGGTGGCAAACTGGTCAATACTTCCCGGACCACTGATGTAAATAAGTAAAATTGAGTAAAATTATCAACAGCAATAAAGACAAGAGTCCCGCTGAGGTTTTTTCACAAAAAATGATAATTTTCCATATATTTTTACGAGCTGGAAATCTTACTTTTACTCTTTAAAAAAGAAGTTCGAAGCTTTATAAATTCGTTATAAATATACCCGACAGGTTATATGGTCGTATATAAACGGTTGTTTGCAATATAAACCTCGCCTGACGGCTAAGGTTATATTTACAAACAACAAACCTGTCTTATATTAAAAAATATTACTTTCATTGGATAATCCCTAAGTTTATATAATCTTCTGTTAATTTATGGATAAATTTTCATTTTGTCTTTAACAAAGGATTAAGAAAGGATTATATATTACAAATTAAAATATAGCAAGTAAACATTTAACAGCTGGTGTTGGCAAGGGCAAAATATTTCAATCTGTTATGTTATACAAACAAAATGTCCATATATGTCATGCCTATCTGTTGTACTGATTTTGCAGCGTAACAATGCATTTTTCTTAATGTCATTAAATCATTACATCACAGACAATTTTTCGAAATATAATTCTGTAAAAGTACCGAATTCTGTTACATTTTTAACATTATGTACATGCAAATATTTATTTATATTGTCTTGCACAAAATTACACATTACAGAGTGCTTCAGTTATGATAGGATTTTTTCATCTGCATATACATCTTTATGTAAACTAAAAGAGCTCTAACATATGTTTGATAATCTTAATGTAAACTAATGGAGCTCTTACATATGTTTGATATGTGAGAAAAGGAAATATCATATTTATGTAGGTTCATCATTTTCATCAATAAGTTGATATAATTCTCATTTTTTGTGAATTTTAAATTCGAAGTAATCTTCCTTTTGTGCCAAAGTGATAGTAACGAGAGCTATACGACACCTTCTACGCATCCGTTAATAATTCGGTATTTTAACGATTATTCGTTAATTACAAGAGCTTCGATATAACAGTGAAACCCCTGACGAGAGGCTTACGACAGTCGTTATGCTTCGAGATACTTACCCTAGAGCTATTACCTAGATAAGCAGCCTGACAAAGTTTGATGATGATTGAGGCAAAAATGTGACCGCTAGAGTGTTAACAAGGTTTTTCTATTTTCAGCTCCTCTGTGTAACCTAGTTTTTCATCCGAAATGACCAATGTTCTAACTCATCCAAGCTATTACCTAGATAAGGATCCTGACAAAGTTTGATGATGATTGAGGCAAAAATGTGACTGCTAGTGTTAACGAACAAGTGTGGACGGACGACGACATTTTACGATCCTAAAAGCTCACACTGAGCTAAGCTTAGGTGAGTAAAAAAACCCAGATAAATATATAATAAAATGAAATTTAAGTACCAACCAACACCAAAGCTGAAGTAATCCCAATCCTCACAAGCAGCAGATATCCCAACATCATCATGACTATATGTATCCCTACCAGATCGACAATTAGTGACATCGTTTTTCTCTCTTGCAATACCGAAGTCAATAAGCCGTGCATTAAATTTTCCATCCAGCAGAATATTTGATGATGTTACATCTTTGTGTATGATGGCATCTCTAATAAAAAAGATTAATATCAACAAGATTAACAAACGGAAAGTTTGGTGCACTCTTGACTCATTCCACGAAAGAGCCTTAGTTGGCGCAGCTGAATTCCCTGGCAACAGAGACCGATAATTTTTACTGCTAAATTTGGTAACCTTGTTTGTTGTTTCATTTTGCGCCTTTTCACAACAGTATCTCAGTCATATAGGCGGGTAGTTTCCTGACCATCGTTCCTGGAGAGTTACACCAGTACTAGACTACCTTCCTCAGTGCTTAACTACCAAAGCATCTTCCGGGGATCAAACCCACGCCAGAGAGGTAACTGGATTAGAAGTCATCGGAGTTGGTTAATGTTACATTTTATGACATTGAATTCCAAATTTTATTACACACACTGACACATACAAGTGACCAAAATTTAAAGACTAACCGCAAAGATAATGCAATATATTCTCGAATGCCAACTTGTTTGAGCATTCAAAATTAACATTCAATTAATGAAGAGACCAATTCATATAACCTGTCCGAAACTTGTTTCCTATTAACAGTTAATTGTATTTATTGAACAACTAGACAAACGTTTTCACTGTACATGCATGATTCACATTATTTTTGTAGAAGTTTACTTGGCAATGCAGCATACAAAGTATTTATGCTGGGTCATTGTAGTTTTTTAGAAAAGAAAATGTAGATCGAAAATGAGTTTTCAAGTTTTTCATCATAAATCTATGTAATAATCTATGTAATATTCCATTTATTTAATTTTATAACAAGAGCCATGTTAACATGGCCATCCCCTGCCAAATGTGTTTGCTCATTGGAAGAATGTATATGTAGTAGAGCAGAATAATTCAATTCTAAGAGGTCTTTTGGTGATGAAAACTGATGGCTGAAGTGATTACAGATTTGAAACTGTGAATACTGATGGCTGAAAATAACATAGGACAATTACTGAAAAAATAATGCAGGGTGCTTTACTCGTCTTCAATAAGATCCATCCACCTATGAAGTTTCAAGTTGATACCTCTAACACTTTTTGAGATAAGCTCCGGACAAAAAAATATGAACAAGAGGGCTATGATGGCCCTGAGTCGCTCACCAGAAACGACTCCTTTTTAGAGTTGGAAAATATCCATTGTCAATATTTTCTGATATTTAATTTGAGCATAGAATATGTTTTAACAATAATTTGAAGAAATGCCATGGCCTAGGGCATTTAAGCTTTAGCTTCAACAGCGCCAATCAAATTAATATGAGCAAACTTGATAAAAGACTAACTAATAATGCTACAAAGTTTGGTGATCATCTATCAATTATTTCAGGAGGAATTGTTCAAAGGTTTTTCTATATTTGGCTTTAGTGGCCCCTAAAATGGGCCAATCAAATTAATATGAGCAAACTGGATAAAAGCGTAACTAAGAATGCTACAGACAAAGTTTGGTGATCATTCATCAATTAGTTCTGTAGAAATAGACGTTTAAAGGTATTTCTATTTTTAGCTTTAGCGGCCCCTTAAAGGGATCAATCAAATTAATATGAGCAAACTTGATATCAGACTACCCAAGAATGCTACAGACAAAGTTTGGTGTCATCCATCCATTAGTTCTGTACAAGAAAACATTTAAAGGTTTTTCTATTTTTAGCCCTAGAGACCCCTAAAAGGGGCCAATTAAATTAATATGAGCAAATTTGATAAAAGACTACCCAAGAATGCTACAGACAAAATTTGGTGATCATCCATCAATTAGTTCTGTAGGAGAAGACATTAAAGGTTTTTTTTAATTTTTAGCCCTTAGGAGCCCCTAAAAGGGGCCAATCAAATTAATATGAGCAAATGTGATAAAAGACTACCCAAGAATGCTACAGACAAAGTTTGGTGATCATCCATCCATTAGTTCTGTAGAAATAGACATTTAAAGGTATTTCTATTTTTAGCCCTAGAAACCCCTAAAAGGGGCCAATCAAATTAATATGAGCAAATCTGATAAAAGGCTACCCAAGAATGCTTCAGACAAAGTTTGATGATCATCAATTAGTTCTGTAGTAGAAGATGTTTTAATTTTTTTTCTATTTTTAGCTCTGTTGACCCCTAAAAGGGGCCAATTGAAATGACATGAGAAAATTCAAGTGTGACTGTCACAAGTATGCTTCAGACCAAATTTGAAGTAAATCTGCCCAGTGGTTTCAGAGAAGAAGATGATTGTTAACGCATGACGACGGAAGCCGGAGTATCCCCGTTTGATACTAATAGCTCACCCTAAGCCTTCCGCTCTGGTGAGCTAAAAATCAGGCAAGGCAGAGTTACGGTTCTTTGTACTGCATTTCTACTAAATGAGATCTTTCTACCTACGAAGATTCTTATCAATACCCCTTGTGGTTTTAGAGTTTTGTACCGGACAAAGTTCAAAGTGTAAGGACAATAACTCCAAAATTAGCTAAGGCAGAACAAACGGCAATAACTCTAAACTAAGGGAAGGAAGAGTTACCGTTCATTTACAGTGTACTTCTACCCAATGAGATATATCTACCTACGAAGTTTCTTGTTAATACCCCTTGCGGTTTTTAGCTATGTCCCTGACAAAGTTCAAAAAGTAAAAATATATAAAGGACAATAACTCAAAAATTAGGTAATTCAGAGTTACGGTTCTTTTGCATTGACTTCTACTCAATGAGATCTCTTTACCCACACAATTTGAAGTTGATTCCTCTTGTACATTCTGACTTATGTCCCGGACAAGAAATCTGCAACAGATCAATAAACAGATTGACCGATCACCAGTTGATTCCAGTATACCCCCACAAACTTTGTTTGTCGGGGGTATAAAAATGATAATTAGAGACGGACCAACAGACAGAGGCTGCAATATAATCCCTTCCTTGCTACACGGCAGGGGATAAATGACGCTCATGTTGTGTAGTCACAGGTGACATATATCCGTCGTATTAAATACAAGCTCAGATGGGCTTTGAAATCTAAAGTAAATGACAGAATGCAGTGAAATATTCATACCTCACACGTTTAACATGTGTATGCAAATATTCTAAGGCTTTCTCAATCTGGAACAAAATTTTGATCCTGTGTTCGACCTCTAGCTTTGGTTCTTCTCTGGAAATATCCAACTGAAGTGCACCACGTAAGTCACCATTTTCACAGAAAGGAGATATAAACCAATATTCACAGTAGGCCTCTCTGTTAATGAATGAACATATTTTGAAAATCATGCGTTTTTAATTCGATTTTTTTTACAAATTTTAGATAATACCTAAATTGTAATGGTTTCATTGCTACTTTCATCCTTACTTTAGTTAAAATAGAAAGTGTGATTTAAAGGTAGAGCAAACAACCCGCCCCCTGAGACCTTAAGGTTAAAATAGAACACTATTGATACATATTGCCTAAAAGTTATACAGCTAGAGAAATTTGCAAAGACATCTGTTTTACCAAATAACAATATTATTGACAGTCAATAAATAGTAAAGACATTTATTTTTCTAAACAAATTTCTTTTATCAGACTTGAACCAATGAATACTAAGTAATAAGTGTAAAGGTTCCTGCTTAAGGAAACAGCAGCTTGTTCTTGACAGGTTAAAACCAACTTAGCCATTAATCTTTAGACTACAAGTCTGATGTGCCAGCCACATGGCCACATTACTCTTTATGAATTAATGGGTCTGAGAAACTTGAAAATAAACATCATCTTTTGCACATAATAATCCTTGCAAATATTACAGTTGTGTTAGTTCTTGCATTTGTCATCAAGGCCATATAAAGCCTTTTAAACAAATGTATGCATTACAAATTCAGGGAATGTAAAGATCAATTTTTGGCTTCAACTTACTTTTCTTGAAAACATGTAGCAAGCAAGGGAAGGATGAACTGATGTCTGATCCTTGACACAAACATTTCCTGAAAATAATACATTAAATAAATAATACAAGAAGCGCCGCAATGCCACGAAAACAAGGTTTTCAACGACCAAGTTTTGATGTGACAGCAATCAATAGGTCAAAGTGCACTGAAGTTATTGACTAGAAGCTGAAAATTCTTTTGTAAGCAAAGACCTTGACCTTGCTCCCAGATATCTAAGGGGCAACCCAAAGCTGCCACACAGCAAGTTTGGTGTCATAAGGTCGAAGCAAAAACAAGTAATTACGTGAAACTGAATATATTAACCTTGATCACAGACACCTTGGTAGCAATTTAAAGCTGCCTCTTGATATAAGCTACCCATTCATCAAGTTTGGTGTCAAAGCAAACTAAAGTTATTGAGCAGAAACTGGATTTCTATTTTAAGAATCAGTGACCTTGACCACTGACACCTGGGTAGCAATATCAAGCTGCCTCTTGATATAAGCTATCTATACACCAAGTTTGGAGTCAATAGGCCAAACCAAACTCAAGTTATTTAGCCGAAACTTGATTTCTATTTTTAGGAACAGTGACCTTGATCTTAATCACAGACACCTGGGTAGCAATCCCAAGCTGCCTCTTGATATAAGCTACCTACACACCAAGTTTGGCGTCAATGGGCCAAAGCAAACTAAAGTTATTGAGCGGAAACCAAAAGTTGACGCCCACACGGAACCTGCCTGCCCGCCATTCCGCTCGCCGCTGGCCATCTTCGGCATTACAATAACCCGGCTTTCGTTGAAAGCGACGGGATAATTATCAAAACAACCTTCCTGGCCAATTTCCAGGATATTGAGTCAAAACTGCAGCCACAAGTGTTAACAAGATATTTTTTTATTATTAACTCAATTTTTTGACCCGAGATGAATCATATTCGAACTTTACCTAGAAATCATCAAAACAACCTACCTCATCAATTTCAAGGATATTTGGATAACAAGAGGGCCATGATGGCCCTGAAATCGCTCAGCAGTATACAGGCCCCTTGGTGGGGCAAATTTTACTTCAGGGGCGTTTATTTGAACAAACTTGGTAGACACCCATTAGAAGATGTGGCATGCTAAATATCTTAGCTCTAGCTCTTATGGTTTTTTAAAAGAAGATTTTTTAAGTTTCTACTATAAAAATTAAGAGATAAACAATGACCCCTTGGGCAGAACTAATTTTGACCAGAGCTCTGCATGGAATTAAATTCTTAAAACAATTTGTTAAGTTGACTACCAAAGGAACATTCCTGTGAAGTTTGGATGAAATTGGCTTGGCGGTTTATGAGATGTCGTTTAAAGTAAAAATTTACGGAAAGACGGATGCCGGACGGACGCCGAACAAAAAGCGATCACAAAACCTCCCCATGCCAATTTGTGACTGGTGAACTAAACACTGCAGCCAATATAGTGTTAACAAAAAATTTCTATTTTAAGCTCCTGTGACCTAGTTTTTGGCAAGAGAGGACACATATCCAACTTCAACCTAGCAATCATAAACAAGAGGGCCATGATGGTCCTAGATCGCTCACCTGACTTATCAAACTCATCCAAACAATTACCTAGACAAGCATTCTGACCAAGTCTCATGACAGGTGAGTTAAAAATGTGACCACTACAGTGTTAACAAGGATTATCCATATTTGAGCAGTGCGACCTAGTTTTTTACCCAGGTGACACATATTCAAACTTGACCTAGAAATCATCAAAACAAACTTTCAGACCAATTTCCAGGATACTTGGATCAAAACAGTAGCAACTAGAGTGTTAACAAGATTTTTCTATTTTTAGCTCCGGTGACCTAGTTTCACATGCGATTTCAAACTCATCCAAGCAATTACCTAGACAAGCATCCTGACCAAGTTTGATGATAATTGAGTCGAAAAAGTGACCACTAGAATGTTAACATATTTGGGCGGTGTGACCTAGTTTTTCATCCAAGATGACCCATGTTCGATCTTGACTTAGAAATCATCAAAACAAACTTTCAGGCCAATTAACAGAATATTTAGATCACAACAGTAGTTACTAGAGTGTTAACAAGATTTTTCTATTTTTAGCTCCTGTGACCTAGTTTTTCATCTGAGATGTCCCATGTTCGAATTATTCCCAGCAATGACCTAGACAAGTTTCCTGACCAAGTTTGATGACAATTGAGTCAAAATTGTGACCACTAGAGTGTAAACAATGTTTTTCTATTTTTAGCTCCTGTGACCTAGTTTTTCATCTGAGATGACCCATGTTCGAACTCATCCGAGCTATCACCTAGACAAGCATTTTGATCAAGTTTGGTGATGATTGATGCAAAAATGTGACCTCTAGAGTGTTAACAAGGTTTTTCTATTTTTAGCTCCGGTGACCTACTTTTTTATCCGAGATGACCCATGTTCGAACTCATCCGAGCTATCACCTAGACAAGTACTTGACCAAGTTTGATGACGATTGATGCAAAAGTGTGACCGCTAGAGTGTTAACAAGGTTTTTCTATTTTTAGCTCCGGTGACACACTTTTTCATCCGAGATGACCCATGTTCGAACTCATCCAAGCTATCAACTAGATAAGCATCCTGACCAAGTTTGATGACGATTGATGCAAAAATGTGACCACTAGAGTGTTAACAAGGTTTTTCTATTTATAGCTCCGGTGACCTAGTTTTTAATCCGAGATGACCCATATTCAAACTCTTTCGAGCTATTATCTAAACAAGCATCCTGACAAAGTTTGATGATGATTGGGTCAAAAATGTGACCACTAGAGTGTTCACAAGGTTTTTCTATTTTTAGCTCGTGTGACCTAGTTTTTCATCAGAGATGACCCATGTTCGAACTCATCCAAGCAATTGACTAGACAAGCATTCTGACCAAGTTTGATGATGATTGGTTCAAAAATGTGACCACTAGAGTGTTCACAAGGTTTTTCTATTTATAGCTCCTATGACCTACTTTTTCATCCGAGATGACCCATGTTCGAACTCATCCGAGCTATCACCTAGACAAACATCCTGACCAAGTTTGATGATGATTGGGTCAAAAATGTGACCTCTAGAGTGTTCACAAGGTTTTTCTATTTTTAGCTCTTGTGACCTAGTTTTTCATCCGAGATGAGCCATGTTCGAACTCATCCGAGCTTTCAACTAGATAAGCATCCTGACCAAGTTTGATGATGATTGAGGCAAAAATGCGACCGCTAGAGTGTTCACAAGCAATTGTGGACGTACGACGGACGACGTACGACGGACGACGGACATTCACCGATCCTAAAAGCTCACCCTGAGCAAGCTCAGGTGAGCTAAAAAACTCCTCACCAATGTCCAGAATATTGGGATCAAAACTGCAGCCACTAGAATGTTAACAAGATTTTTTATTATTAACTCCTGTGACTTCGTTTTTGACCCGAAATGGACCATATTCAAACTTGACAAAAATGATCAAAACAACCTTCCTGGTCAATTTCCAGGATATTTGGATCATTACTGCAGCCACTTAGTGTTAACAAGATTTATCTAATTTTAGCTTCGGTGACCTAGCCTTGACTGGAGATGACCCATATTTGAACTTGACCTAGACATCATCAAAACAACCTCCCTGACCAATTTCCAGGATATTGGGATCAAAACTGCAGCCACTAGAGTGTCAACAAGATTTATTTATTATTAAATCCTGTGAGTAAGTTTTTGACCTGAGATGACCCATATTCTAACCTGACCTAGAAATCATCAAAACAACCTTTACGGTGAGACATACATTCTGACAAAGTTTGATAATGATCCAATTAAACCTTGGACTGCTAGAGTGTTGACAACCTAAATGGTGACGATGCACAACGCACGACGCCGGAGATAGCCCGATCAATATACATCACCTTCACCACTTCTTGGCCAGGTACGTAAACAAAACAACAATAATATAACAAGAGATTAAGGTCATGTAAAGGCTAATGTAATAAGTTTTAGAAATATTCAATAATTTTACTTCACATGTTTAGATTGTTTAAAGGTCAAAGTAAATCAAGAATTGTTCAACATGACAGTTTTTGCAAAGTGTTGTTTAAATATATCAAATCCATCAATGAATAACAAAATTATGGCCAATGTTAGCAAAATAAAACGTTTGAACTTCAAGGTAAATGGTCATTAACGGGTCAGGATCGAACTTGATTAAACGTGACTTGCAAAACATGGTTATATAATGCTTAATTTTGTTCAAGAATAAACCCATCCATTAATAAGACATGCCCACGGGCAGAATGTTGAGCTCGCTTTGCTTAATTCAAACCTGAATCATTATCTTAGGCAACCATGACCTCTGACCCAGTGACCTGGTTCATGTGCATGACACAACGAATTATGATGAATATTTGTTCCTAAAAACTCAATTCATGTTATTTAAAACTTTCTCTATGCACAAAGAAGTTATGGCATGGACAGATTTGGATGCAAGTATGCACAAAAAAAAAATGAACACCATTTTCACAACTATTTCGACTGCGCAAAAGGTGAAAAAGATCCTTGACCAAAAAGCATAATACAAAGAAAAAAGCAAAAAAAAAGTGTGGAAAAAACCAATTTTTGTTTTTATTTTTTTAATTTTGACCCTTTTTTGGACCTTCTTTTTTGCGAAAGACAACACACACTCACCAGGGAAAAACATTTTTATCAGTTATTTTAAAATTTCATCAATGAAATTATAAAGAGAAATAATTAAATTCAATACAGCTGTACTTTCCCCTTCTTGGGATCAGATAAAGATACAAGTGCGAATACAAATTATTATTGAAATGAGAGAATAAATACACACATACTACCAAATGGATATGCCAGTCCAATCACAGCACAGCCCTTTTTTTAATTTTCATCAATATATACTACCAACTTGATATGCAAGTCCAATATATACATATTGATGAAAATTAAAGAAGGGCTGTGCTGTGATTGGACTGGCATATCCATTTGGTAGTATGTGTGTATTTATTCTCTCATTTCAATAATTTACATGCACATTTGTATATATATATATACATACAAAAACGCATGTAAATTATATATATAGACGTTATACTTACAAATACTTAATTTATTTGACTTTTGATCCTAAACTAATACCTTGACCTTTGTCCCAGACACCTAATTTTTTGCACAGCATTAAGCCTAATTATGGAGAACATTTGTCCTAAATTATATTGAAACCCCGCCATGCATGTAGACGTTATGTTCCTGACACGGGTTTTAAGCCATACCCCTAAT